AAAGTAACCAAGAAACTGCGAATGGCTCATTAATTCAGTTATAGCTTAGTCGAGATCACAATGCAAGATATTGCAACAAGAAGATTGGTGATACGCGGTGCCTGAAGCCATGCCGTACAAAGTCGCTGTACGACAGGGGTGGTCAGAGGAGCTTGAGCGGCGAGGGGGTGGTGGGGGGAGTGGGGAGCATGAAGGGGGGCGGGCGGGGGGCGTGTCGAAACCCATGCCATACTGCGTTGCCGTACACCTCATGGTGATGCAGGAGCGTTCAGAGGTGCTGGAGGGACGAGGGGGTGGTGAGGGGAGTGGGGAGCATGGAGGGGGGTGGGAGAGCGTGTCGAAACCCATGCCGTACTGCGTTGCCGTACACCTCACGGTGATGCAGGAGCGTTCAGAGGTGCTGGAGGGACGAGGGGGTGGTGAGGGGAGTGGGGAGCATGGAGGGGAGTGGGAGGGTGTGTCAAAACCCATGCCGTACTGTGTTGCCGTACACCTCACGGTGATGCAGGGGCGTTCAGAGGTGCTGGAGGGGCGAGGGGGTGGTGAGGGGAGTGGGGAGCATGGAGGGGGGTGGGAGGGCGTGTCGAAACCCATGCCGTACTGCGTTGCCGTACACCTCACGGTGATGCAGGGGCGTTCAGGGGTGCTGGAGGGGCGAGGGGGTGGTGAGGGGAGTGGGGAGCATGGAGGGGGGTGGGAGGGCGTGTCGAAACCCATGCCGTACTGCGTTGCCGTACACCTCACGGTGATGCAGGGGCGTTCAGGGGTGCTGGAGGGGCGAGGGGGTGGTGAGGGGAGTGGGGAGCATGGAGAGGGATGGGAGGGCGTGTCGAAACCCATGCCGTACTGCGTTGCCGTACACCTCACGGTGATGCAGGGGCGTTCAGAGGTGCTGGAGGGGCGAGGGGGAGGTGAGGGGAGTGGGGAGCATGGAGGGGGGTGGGAGGGCGTGTCGAAACCCATGCCGTACTGCGTTGCCGTACACCTCACGGTGATGCAGGGGCGTTCAGAGGTGCTGGAGGGACGAGGGGGTGGTGAGGGGAGTGTGGAGCATGGAGGGGGGTGGGAGGGCGTGTCGAAACCCATGCCATACTGCGTTGCCGTACACCTATGGTGATGCAGGGGCGTTCAGGGGTGCTGGAGGGGCGAGGGGGTGGTGAGGGGAGTGGGGAGCACGGAGGGGGGTGGGAGGGCGTGTCGAAACCCATGCCGTGCTGCGTTGCCGTACACCTCACGGTGATGCAGGGGCGTTCAGGGGTGCTGGAGGGGCGAGGGGGTGGTGAGGGGAGTGGGGAGCATGGAGGGGGGTGGGAGGGCGTGTCGAAACCCATGCCGTGCTGCGTTGCCGTACACCTCACGGTGATGCAGGGGCGTTCAGGGGTGCTAGAGGGGCGAGGGGGTGGTGAGGGGAGTGGTGAGCATGGAGGGGGGTGGGAGGGCGTGTCGAAACCCGTGCCGTACTGCGTTGCCGTACATCTCACGGTGATGCAGGGGCGTTCAGGGGTGCTAGAGGGGCGAGGGGGTGGTGAGGGGAGTGGTGAGCATGGAGGGGGGTGGGAGGGCGTGTCGAAACCCGTGCCGTACTGCGTTGCCGTACATCTCACGGTGATGCAGGGGCGTTCAGATGTGCTGGAGGGGCGAGGGGGAGGTGAGGGGAGTGGTGAGCATGGAGGGGGGTGGGATGGCGTGTCGAAACCCATGCCGTACTGCGTTGCCGTACACCTCACGGTGATGCAGGGGCGTTCAGGGGTGCTGGAGGGGCGAGGGGGAGGTGAGGGAAGTGGGGAGCATGGAGGGGGGTGGGAGGGCGTGTCGAAACCCATGCCGTACTGCGTTGTCGTACACCTCACGGTGATGCAGGGGCGTTCAGGGGTGCTAGAGGGGCGAGGGGGTGGTGAGGGGAGTGGGGAGCATGGAGGGGGGTGGGAGGGCGTGTCGAAACCCATGCCGTACTGCGTTGCCGAACACCTCACGGTGATGCAGGGGCGTTCAGGGGTGCTAGAGGGGCGAGGGGGAGGTGAGGGGAGTGGTGAGCATGGAGGGGGGTGGGAGGGCGTGTCGAAACCCGTGCCGTACTGCGTTGCCGTACACCTCACGGTGATGCAGGGGCGTTCAGGGGTGCTAGAGGGGCGAGGGGGAGGTGAGGGAAGTGGGGAGCATGGAGGGGGGTGGGAGGGCGTGTCGAAACCCGTGCCGTACTGCGTTGCCGTACACCTCACGGTGATGCAGGGGCGTTCAGAGGTGCTGGAGGGGCGAGGGGGAGGTGAGGGGAGTGGGGAGCATGGAGGGGGGTGGGAGGGCATGTCGAAACCCATGCCGTACTGCGTTGCCATACACCTCACGGTGATGCAGGGGCGTTCAGGGGTGCTGGAGGGGCGAGGGGGAGGTGAGGGAAGTGGGGAGCATGGAGGGGGTGGGAGGGCGTGTCGAAACCCATGCCGTACTGCGTTGCCGTACACCTCACGGTGATGCAGGGGCGTTCAGAGGTGCTAGAGAGGCG